GAAGTTTCCCTAATGCTGATCTTCGTCTCAGATTCCAAGTAGGCGCCCACTTGCTTGCCGTGCCGTGAGCTAACGGACAGTTGACCCACCATATTCCTGTTAACAGCTCTAGTCATCGTTGGACCTAGATATCATCGGCTCCTTCCGCTTACACGTGACTCCCTAATTAATTTTCAGAGAATGCTTAGTTTCGTAGAAAAAGTAAGTGCTGCAAGTTCTGGATTCGAATCTCATTCAAAGTTAAGACTCTGCAAAAATAGTCCTTAGGTTTTTGGATCTGATTGTCTTGGAATTGTCGTGATGTCATTCATGTGAAGCGAAGCAGCATCATAAATGCGTGGGTGGTAATGTGGTGGGTGGTTACAAAAAACCCATTTACTGACTAAACTAAAAACTATGAAAAGGCTATGTTAAATGGTGTTAAGAGAATCTATGGTAATGAATAAATGTCCGCATTATAAGCTAAATATTTTCTATTTAGAGACAAACCACTCAGTGAAATATGATACTACGAGTAGAGGAGTTGATTAATGGCGCAGAGAGTATTGTGCTTTCTGGCTGTCAGCAAGAACAGCGCATGGATTTTGCCTCCCTACGTCAGGCTAGTGATCCCCTTCCCAAGTCTTGTATGTTTGCGCCTCTCTAACTGCCTTGTTGGTCTAGTAGTTGTAATAGTGCGACTGCTGATCATGAGGTCCTGGGTTCGAATCCCGGGTCGGGCCAAAAAATTAATTATTGAGTTTTTACGTCAAGAAATTCTCAGTAGTTGCCCGGAGTCTGGAAGTTGGCGGTGTATCACTCCCGTCCCTCATAAAGCACGTAAAGCCGTTGATCCTGCGCCTGATCTCTCTCCGTTCGTGTCGGTTTACCGTCCCATCGGATTATGAGAGTGAGGGAATAGAGAGTGCACCTGTGCTTGCGCATACACTTGGGCACTATAATCCTGTCCTGCATCAATGGCTAGCCTCCGTTTAAGCAGGCTGCCGTGGCCGAAATTCGGTCTGGAGGACATTATTATTATTATTATTATGTTTGCGCTCCACCTTCCTTCTGAACCAATCATTATGGAACGCAATGCGTGGTAAGTCGACAACCACGAGGCAGGAACTAAGTTATGTAAATCCTGCATACAATCTGCGTAATGCATCCTGTAGAAAACAGAAAGGCAAATAAATAAGATTAATATCTTGGTTATACGTTATACTAATAAGAAACGGTACGTCGAAAATAAAAACTATATTTTATAGATCCAAATGCATAAGCACGGACAATTATTTCACATGCCTACGCTCAACATGCTCATCGGTTAAGGGTATACTTTATTTGCACTATCAATACGAGCGCAGTTTAAAAGAGTTAAACTGTGATACAATATACTTGTACTCCTCAGTTTGGTATTTAAACTTTCGTCTGAGGCGTCAAATGTGCTTTGTTTTATCCTTTTCGTATTTATTCTTTCAAAAAGTATATAAGTAATATTTATTACAATTTTAAGCCCTTCTTAACATCTTTATGTTGTTGACACTAAAAAAATTTAAATGTTCATACCTACTTAAATGTAGTTACCTACTATATAAACACAAACAAAACTGTATTTTGTAAATATGTCTGCTTTTTATTGCTCTTTACAACTGTGTTAGTCGTATAAAATGTTGCAAATTTAATAAAAGTACCGATAACCATACCTTATCCCCTCGTTGCCAGTAAATTTGCCCGTCTCACGCTATTATTGGGCAATAGCGGTTTATTGATCCTGACAATATTTACTAAGCGTTAAGAAAGTGGATAAGACGTTCCAAAATAGCTCAATTCAATTTATAATACATTTGAATGGCATCTTAAGATTTGTTATAACTAGCTAGAAGTAGATGGATGAACAATGCTCAGGACAGTTATTTAGGTGCATGCCTTAGGGAAACATAGGCAATATACGAGTTGGTGATATGTTCTGCGTAGGATTTGTAAAGGGCTGTAATAATAATTATGATGATGAGTGTCAAGTTCTCTGAAGTCAAAGAGAGCCGACGGAGCAGGGTTTGAGATCGGCAAGAGGGGACAACAAAACTTAAATAAAATATTTTGTATTATTTCCATTGTCATACATCACCCGTCCCTAATATTGTAATTGTATCAAATAGACGATAATCATTTGACGAAACTAGCAGCTATAGTCTGAAAACTTATAATTTTTAAGAAGAAAGCGTAAACGAGCATGCGGCTCACTTGAAATTGTGCATGCCACAAAGTACAGCCCTGAGCTACCAGCAACCATCACTACCTCCGTATTTTATCAGGTCGTTGCTCCATCTCAAATCTGCGCTTTCCGTTACGAGGCTGCCACTCAAGAATCTTTCTTTTGTTCAGTTCTTCGAGCTATATTGTCAGCCAGTTACTGCTTCACCTTACTGATTCGGAATAAAATCCGTTAATGAGATATTCAAAAAATAGCAATAGTAACTGACATAGACAAGTCGATCGTTCGATATTAATTTATTCATAATTTTAAAATTTACTGAATGTGTTTATAGATAATTGACATTTTTACACTAGCCTATTAAGCTATTGCATAGCTTCTATCGCGGGCCTTGAGTGCGGGAAAATCCAGAAATTCGTAACGAAAAAAACCTCACGCTCTCCGACGGGCACGGAGGTGTGGCTTGAAGGCCGTGCATTGTTTAACGATGGTCTAACGTCGTTTCTTTTCCTCAGTCTTCGACACGGTGTTTATGTATAAAGTGTTTTGAAATTTTGAATATGAATGAACAAAGTGCATTTATTATTAAGGCTGCTCTCTCGCAAAAAGCTTGAAAAAAGCATGCAGACGAACCAACTTTTCGTCGACACTTACAGAGAAATTACATATGAAAAAAATAGCTAGTAATCTACATGATCTGATACGTAATTCGATTAAGCCATAATTTTTCTATCGGTGTCACATAATAAATAAAAAAATACCCAAATCACCTCCAAATCGTTGAGATGAAACCACTTTACTCCTTCATTGTTTATCAAAGGAATATAAAAAAAATATCTACTGCTTTGCAATACAAAATAAAATAATTTGGTTTGGTTACTTTTTAGAAATATGTATTATTTTTATGATAATAAATTAAAAATGCGTCCCGATTAAATACTGCATCTATATCACCCCCGCATTCGTCCACGAATTCAGTGCAGGGCGCATCGTGTTGCTAGGTGGACGTACGCCGCGTTGCGAGAGCTCAGCACTACGAAATAATATCGTAAAATATTACTGCAAAAATTTAATTTTGTTAATAGTGGAGTAGGTTTTTATATATTTTTATAGAGTAAGGGTGACAAATAAGCATACAGTTCATTAACTTGTAAGTGGATGCTGTCGCCCATAGATATCTACATCAGTTATCGATTAAAAATCAAAATGTAGACGCGTAGTCACCTCCGAGGACTAAGATGGAATTGTTTAATTTCTAATACCAAACAGTTTCGTTTCTTTTCTTAAGCATATCATGTTCTGTTGTTCTGCTGCTCCTCGCCGGTCCGAGTATTTTAATTCTTATGTAAACTAAATAGGTGTAAACAAGATGGGCATTGGCTTTATGCCATCTATCGGAAGCCATAAAAGTTTTCTGTCGTTGACTGTTATCGTCTTTTACGGCACCCATGGGATCCAAAGGGGTGATGGCTCATGGTTCTATTACACCGCCACCACGTGGCTCAACAAAAGTATATAGGTGTATAGGTATTTATGTACAACAGTGAATAGCTGTACTTGTAAAATTTGTGTATAAAGTGTTTTGAATATGAATGAACAAAGTGCATTTATTATTATTTATTTAATAAATTTGTTTTCTTATCGGTCACCACGCTCAAAAAGTGTAACTTGAATTAATATCAAAGAAAAAGAAATATTCATAAATAAAATAAATAAATAATTATAATTGCATAAGTTGATACAAAATGCTATGCAATAGCTTTACCGCGGCAGTCCCCGAGTGCCACACGTCTTTTTATTTGGTAGATTGATATTTTTATTCGCACGGACATGTAAATATTTATTTAAAGAATCTAACAGCCCTAGAAAAGATTATATATGTATATATATATTTATTTATCTTTATCTACCATGAAATTTAGTATGCAGGGGGCATCGAGGGCAATACCTTTTACCTTTTACCTAAATTTTGCCGGTACCTTTAAGGTTATAACAGCTCAAATGAGATGTCGGGTGATGCTGAAATCATTGAACGCCGGTTCGAGTCCAAATGTCCTCCGGTGCTTTTTTCCTTCTTTCGTAAGAAAATGTATTATTTGGAGCCCTTTTTTTTAGTACATTTTTTAAACATGAAAAATAATAATAATTATTATATATATTAAATAATTTTATTCCTATTCATCAGTTTGTAAATTGTATCTAAATATTATTTACAAAAAACATGATTTCCAAAAAAAATACCGAGATAATGATTTATGATAAGTCATGATTTTTCCTACCGATCGACCGAATCGAAAATCAGTTAAAACAATGCGTTACCATGAATTAAATAATTAAGTTTTCTTCAACATTTGCCTGCAGTTTTTTAATAGATTTTCAAAATATATTAAGGCTATTTATAATAATAAATTGGTATCTTTTTGTGTAATACTATTGAAGGTCGTTAAAATTTCTAGTGGGCCCAAAAATAATTGTTTCCTTTGTTAATGATATTTATTATTACTTATTTATATTACTTTATTATTACCTGTAGTCGTACAATAATTACTATATCAATTTGGTTGGATTAAAAAAGGAAATATACAAAATGAAAAACAGTTAGTGACCTATGTTGGCTGTAATTTGAACTTCCAAGACAAGTCTACACATGGACCTTCACCGTTGTAGGGAGGATTTACCCTTGGTATGCAGATTGACGATCGTACCACCAGACGTCTCGCACCTTTCACGCTTTTTTTCTTTCTCTTTTATTCTTGAAATGATAGTAAAACAAATATTTCAATATTTTAAAAATAAAACATAAGGCTTAAATTTCTTCAGCTGGCAATGAACGTTCAATAACCCACGAACTGCCACTATCAGCTTTTTGAAATACTTCAACTATTTCCCGACCAACTACGTCTGAGTTCTGCCAATCTTTTTGATACGAGTCATCCGCAAAAAGAGTAAGTACATCAATATCTCTTAGTTTACAGGAAGATACTAAATTTGTTTTAGTTACTCCCGGACAGATAGTTAACACTCTGACGCTGGTTTTTTCAAAGTTATGAGAATGCCCTAATGATTTTGAATAACCCATAACACCAAATTTAGTTGCATTATAAAATGGTGCATAAGGTATAATTCTATATCCATATATAGATGAAATATTCATAATAGTGCCACCATTGCCTCCTTTATCTTTCCTCATGTATTCGTAAAACTTTTCTGTCCAAGCAATCACAGCTATTAGATTGATTTCAATTGTTTTGAGATAAGATGTTTCGTCTGCTATTCCAGCGTTATTGACTAAGACGTCAACCTGGTTGAATTCGTTGAAAATTCTTTTTGTAACTGATTCTAGATCAGAAATAACATCACATTTGATAAAAACTGCTTTACCATCTCCATATTTCTCGTTCAAAATTTTCTCTGTCTTAAAGCCCCTTTCTTGGTTAATGTCGAGAATAATAACGAGCTTTGCTCCTTTTAAAAGAAAATTTGCTACAATTTCATAACCTATTCCATCCGCTGCTCCTGATACCACAATTGTTTTCCCATTCACTGTCCTTTCCATTCTATCACGATAATAATTAAGCGCTTGAAAGTTATTGTTTATAATTTAAATGTCTACACAAGTTTATTTTGATTGTGAAAGACGAACAATAAAGAGTTAATAAAATATTTTAGTTTAAATAAAGAAAATTTTACTAAAGATAGTAAGTTTATCGCTAGAGCAAACAACTAACGATAAGACGACGACAACGAAGAGTATACAATTATTACATTTGAATATACAAGGGGAACATTGTCATTACACCTAATGAGAAAAGTTTGCTTTTAATTCTAATGACGTTAGTGATGGAGTAAATCAAAAAAATACTATTACAGTGCGAAATTGTAAATTAATTATGAATTGAACATTATGGATTACATTGTACATTAATTAAATTGATGTTTTAGAAACTTTTTCCGCCTATATTTGGTAATTTGTAAAATGTTTAAGGTCTTTAAGCAACAAAATATTTATCCAATTTATGGCTAATAAAGAAATTAGAATTTAAATTAATTGTCTGCCTATTATTGATTTTATTAAAAATTAGCTTCGACTGAGCCTTTGTTTTCTCGTAATTAATACTTTTGTTGTGATTGTGTGTGTGATCAATCAGATAAACTAACGAAGAAACAAATAGATATGCTCATGAAAGAACCAAGAAACGAATTAGGCTGTACCCTTGTGTTTCAAGGTGTGCATAAACAAAACAGTGAAGGTCATAACGTGATTCGTAATTTACTCCCAAATTTATCTAGTTAAACTACATTGTTCCCTCTTATTTCTAAAATAGTCTTGAATCCAGGATGAAGTACATGGAATTATCTCAATGAGTGTTGGTCCACCAACGCTCATTGAGATTCCCTTTCCCCTTTGAGATTTCCTAAATAAACGACATACATTCGCTCCCGAACAGATTTTTTTTTCATTGACTTTCATAAAACGGGTTACACTAGCATGCAAGTTAGGGGATCAACTTATCTATAAGTCCTTTATGCTATATATCTGATCATCAATTTATCTAAAATAACATTGTGTTATGTTTAAGGCTTTATTTATCAATAAAAATGATTATTATGAAAATCCGGGGTATTCACAGAATATTCTCAATTGGTTGGGCTGAATAAATATATAAAAGGAAACGAGAAATATACATAAATATATATTAATTAAACTAACATAAATAAATAAATAATACATAATAAATAAAGACCCAACCAGACGCAAGCCCCCAGCAGGGGAGACCAAAATACTGAGGGTTAGGGGGAAAGTGGAAGAAACCGACGGACGATGCGGGCGGTATCGAAGAGCACCGCCTTCTGCATTTTAGCCCGGAGCGGCTGTCACGGAATCTCAGTCACCTCAAATGACTCAAAAGGCTGACTGCGATAAGCCCGTTTGCAGAAGCGACTACAGGAATAATTTTGGTTGGCAGACCACCCCACATGTCAGTCACCTCGTGAGCCAGGTCCAGATATTTTGATTATTTATCTAGTTCACGTCATACGGAATGGTAGTGTCTATCAAAAATATTCTTGAGTTAAGAATATTTAATATAATTTAATAGAAGAATATTTTATTATATAATCAGCACAACATCAGGCTTATTCGCAAGAACAGTGCTGTCTGTGATGTTGGGTCGGTCCGCGATCATTTCCAAGCACGGCTTCCAGTCTATGATGTACCTCAGATCCACCGTATTTCAGAGCGAGCTCCTGATAAAGAACTCCGGCTACTAGGTTGTGCCTGTGCAAGTACTCAGAGATAGGAAGCACCGAACAACCGGATATCATATGCCTATGTGACTCACCGGGATGGTGACCAGCTCGACAGATGTTGACGGTGCCATCCTTTAGGACGTATTTTATCTCCATTATTATATATTCTTCTGATTACTCTGGAAGAGACCATTCTGGTTGAACTGAACCATTCTGGTTCACTTCTCGGTATATTGCTGAATCCGCTTTAACCAAGTAGTGATTCCCTGCTTCAGGTCTTCCATGCGCCCGTCAGTTTAAGTGTTATATCCCGCTGGGGCAAACCTTCATCAATATGCTGATGAGGGCCTTTGCAATACGTTCTTCAATGCTTATTGTCCAGGCTAAGATAGCGCTACTTTGTCCAGTAGCGCGTCCAGCCGTGGAAAGTTTAGCGCCTATAATACGGCAAACTGCTAGTGCGGCGCCAAAAAAAATTGAGTCCCTCTCGAAAAGGTTCCGACTGGCTACTAAATAGGGCTATGCTAGGCTAGGCTCTTCCAATGTAATTGCTTTAGTTCCAGTTCCTGGGTGACTGTTCCATCATCGTTTGATTCAACTACAACTGGGGTATTCATGACCGCGTCAACGTTATGGTTCAGTTCAGTGTTCTGCAAGTTATAGTGCCTCATGCAGCCGTAGCATTTTCATCCGATGAGGAAACAGCCACTTCGTAGCCGATCAAGTTCGCCGTCATCAAATATTTTTGAGCGTATGATGTATCGTACTCGATCTGCCAGGTTTTGCTCGATGACGGTAATACCCAAGTAGTAGTAGGGTAGTACCCAAAACCTCCAGCCACTCCTCCTTTCACCCTAAAATATACCCGCAATGCGGAGTTCTATTCTTCGTCCAAAGCATGCACGTACTCCCCAGAGGCTTTGCCATTTTCTGATCAGTAAACATCAAGCTATGGGTTTTGAATGCGATGCGCTAAAAGGTGGTCGTGTAGCCCCTAGCGCTCGGCTGGCGGCCTGCATACTGTCACGTCTAGCACCAGCTCCAGACGCATCCTGGTGATCTACATATAGCGGCCCCATGCACGTTCCTCTTTGTGCCATTATCCATTTTATGGGCGCCAATTAACGGGAAACGCTGAAACCCTGTACCGTTTTGTGGTTAAGCCATAGGCGCAAACGGACATTTTTACCCTCAATTTTGCCTAGGCGTGGAGCTTACACCTCTTGGCAGGGCGCTGGCTGACTGCGCCATCGTAGCAATTTTGTAAACTAACTGTTACATCAGCAGGCGATTGGGTCATCACTTACCTACGCCTGATTATTATTACTGTCCGCATTCTTCATATCAAACACCTTGGATTTTCAAAGTTCGTCGCAGTGCTGGAAGCGTTACTTCCTGTTCCTTGACGCTACTATTTGTGCTACAGTATTGGATCTGAGTCTTACTGCTTGCCTCTACTTACAGGTACCATTTGCCCATTTGCCCTCTTCTGGACACACCGCAGACTAAAAAGCCATCTTTGGCACTTGCACATTTTTCGAATACTAGTCTGCACCATCGACCTCCAGTCTGAGCAGGGCAGTAATGTGGCGGTGTTGTGGTCTCGCGTCACAAACAAAATGCATAGAAACCTCAATGACGCTTTCAATGTTTCGAAGTATTGTGGTATGCATAGAACAGATCAGAACACAGAATAACACAATAGAAGTCGCATAGACGCGTGACCTGGTCGCCGCTATTATGAGTTGACAAACATAATTCATTATTTGTGATTTAATTGAGTGAAAAACGTCGTAGGTGAATTTATGTTAATATAATCGTGAACTGGAGCATAATAGTAAAAAAAGCATAATAGTAGCAAAACTCATCAAGGACGTGTAATTCAACTAATAAAGGCATAAAATTTCATAGGTAAGTTGATTATATACTAATTATCATTGTTTTAACTAATTTACATCTCGATGAATACTTTATTGTTATCTTTACATTCATGAACTTTCATTTATTACTTTTTGTATTAACAATTACCATTGTTGCTTTTGTTCTACCTAAATACGCGACGTTAACAAACTTGCCTAGCAATATAATGTGAAACATTAGATCATTGTGCATTGCGTATATTTATAATACGGCTGTAGTTGGCGACATCGGTTTTATAAGTAATCGAGTGCTAATTCATTTCTATTTTTTTTATTATTACTATTTCTGTGAATCAGAACGAACACATGCAGTAATCGCCGCTTTCGGGCTGACCACATTGCCCGGCGGATGACCTGCTCATTTTTTACCACCACCAAACTATCATGTACCAACTTACAATCATATTCGTTTAGCCATTTAAATACAAGGTGCGGTATCCATACATCCACACAAAGGGACGTTCATACATTTCAACTCCCTGATAGTTGACCAAATACGCATATTTTATTAACCAAAAAAGTAAATTTCACCAGTGGGCCTAAAAACTAATTATAGATATGTTGATTGTATTTTATAGTAGTATAATTAATATGATAAATTAAAGAACAGATTATACCAACTACGATAATTTGCATTTAAAATATTTAAAGAAAAGTGACTACCATAGAATCAATTTATTATATATAATTATTTCTTCAATAATATGTACCAACCTGTACATCTTAAACATATAAGTAAGATAAGGCAATATCAGTCATTCTTAACAATATTGAAACAATATATAGAATTTACTTGTTTTATTGCCGCTCACGATTAAAATGTTGATGATAAATACTTAAAACTGAATAGTTATTAATGGGAGGGAAAGCACTATTTTAGAGATAAATTTTATATGTATTTAGCTTCGTCAAAATTATAATAACATAAGGACAAAGAAATCTATTCTAAAAGAGTAAGATTTCGTTTATCCAATACCGCTGAAACCAGGGGTCCCAAGGGAAGCGGAGTGTTGGTATGGCGATGTGCCTCTCGCCATTATGATTCTGGCGCAGATGCACCGTTGATGCAGTGATGGTGGGGCTGCGAGCGTAAAGGAGTGTCGGTATAACAATGCAATGTTCTCTCTACCGTTCACGACCAAAAACTGAATGGTGACGGAACCATAGACCAGATCCGCCACTAATGACAAGGAGGTGGGTTTCTTTCTGGTTACATGGCCTCCGCCTATCTTTTACTAGAGACAAAGCATACCTACTTAGCCTTCGGGGATGACAACGCATCTGCAGTCTATGGAAATCAGAATCCACTTACCATCAGATGGACTGTATGGTCGTTTGTTAATGACATTATTATTTTAATGCAATAATAATAATTCAAAAATAAAAT